ATTTTTTAGACAAAATATTTAAAAGACTAATTTTATTTTTAGACAAAACTCTATTTTTGGGGGTATTTTCAAATAGGTCCAGCTCACGCAAATCTTAATCTTTTTCCAAAGTATTTTGGCGGAAGTCTTAAAATATAATATCATGTAATGATTTTTTTCATGGAGAGTGATGCACCCTAATGTACATATTTACAGTTTAAATAAATGCATATGCATGTATTATCCACCTATTTTTATCGAAAGTGCGCGCAACACGAGTGGATCCAGATGTTATGCCCATTTTCCTTCAAATGGAAATGTATTCAGCGAAAGCGTGTCGCAAAATTCATTTTATCCATCATTCATTAATATTTATGGAGAGAAACTTCGACCTTTTGAGCATCTATTTCAAGACTCTTAACGTTTCGTAACGAAATAATCATAGAGCCAAAGAACGTATGTAGATAAGAAGAAGTTGCAACACGGCGGCTAAATATCTAGGAATTATTCCAAAGCTCCTGGAGAATAGGAAATCTATATACCAAACTAGAAACCTTCCATACGATGCTAGAAAATGTTCAAACTAAGGCTGATATTTGTTCGAATTTCAACAATCGATAGAGAAATCTAAGGTTCTTTGGGTCGCTTCAATATTTAAATCGTCAGAAACGGGCATTACCACCCACTCTTCTCTCTTGAGAATGCGAGGTAAAAAGGGTAAATGTGCTCGCCATGTATCAGTCAAATGCACCGCGAGGACCTGAGCTGTCTGTAAGTTCAAAATTTGCCCATCAATCCCATTTGCTGAATGAAGGCAGCTTCCTAGTTTACTGCTTGTAATTCTAACATCGAAGGCAACTTGAGTTTAGCCTTCTGGCAGTGTTTGACAGTCTTTGGCTCCGATGGCTTAAGGTGGGGGGTGTTACCTATAGCTACTTACTAGCCAAGGAATAAGCCGCCAGAAATATGTCCTCCAAACCCTTTTTCAGGTTTAAAATGGCAGAAGTTTATATACCTACTACCTCCGTCGGTCAGTGGGTCATCGGTCCATTGACCACAGATAGGGTCTGGCCAGTTCCTTAGATGCCCGGATCTGTTCTGCCTTTCACCGTTCATAAGCATATACATATTAGAAATCAAGGCGAAGAGATTTATTTGCTTAGACTTCTTGGTTTGCGATTGGATTTGAAATTTTCTGCCTACACACATTACTTTTTGCATATAGTCTTTCCAACCAAGTCCATTCCAGAAGCGTATTCGGGGCCGCGATTGAACAAGTTCTCATTGATCTTGTTGAGAACCCAAACGTGATATGGAAGTTAATTTTAGTGTGTTTAGCCGCCAGGATGGACTATCACACAAAATAGCCATTCAATTAACTTCAAGATGAAAGCTCATGTCCGGCTAAGGAGTTTCAAACAGGCCCACATGGCTGAGTTGACTAAGCTAAGAGTTTTGTCTAGATGGGAACTCCAAGTGAGTCAAGAGAAATTCCAAGATATTTTACTTCGTTAGAGTATTCAAGCAGCGCCTCTCTCAAGGGTAACCGAACCAAGGTGCGCCTTGTTCTACCTACTTCTTATGAAAGCAACATTTTTTGATGATTTTTGCAGTCATTATTGTATGATTTATCAATCTTACGAATTAAAGATACAATTTTTGCGCATGTGAGCATATATGTATATATACCTGCCAAACAGATGCCATTAAATAGTTAAAATAAATATTTCCAAAATTTAGGAAGTATGCATATTCTATTCTAAATTATACTTAAATAAATTTAGTTTTTCATTACCATAATTTGGTGTTATATGTAGGTAAATACTTGTACTAAATAGTTATGATGAAATCTATAATCCACGAAAAATTTAAAATTTATTTTTCTCACAACAAAAATTAAAAAAACAACAACAATAGAAAAGATGTTACAAAATCATTTGTCTTGTTTTGGATTATCCATTTTTTTTTTTGGAGGCAAACGACCACCTACCTAAACGCGCATTTGCCGCCTTTATACCGGCCAGCCCTGTTAGTCAGGTCTCGACTGCCTTGGCGGGAGCCTACGCAGCGTGGTGTAGGTGTTACGTACGCGCGCCGCTCTTTAAGTTGATTTTGTGGGAAAACAGTCGATGCCGCTGGCACTGTTTGTGATACTGTGAATTTGTGTTGGCTGCTGTGACTCTGCTCGCGCTCGCTACCAGGCAGGTGGGCGACTTAAACGCGTGCGCTTGTGCAGCCACAGCTGAGTTGTTTTAACGAACATTTCGCTATTAACACAAACGATTTTAAGCAATTTACATATGAAATAATTAAATTGTTAATGCTGCTAAGAAGTGGCACTAAAGAGCAGTGTAGTATTTATGGGTGTGCTTGTGCAAAAAATGGCACCACGAAGCGCTGCGTAGGTACGTACCCCGGCTATATGGTGGCGCAATTAATATGGCGGATTGTTTGTGGCAATGCAAATTTATGCAAAAGTGCAGCAAGTGGCGTTGAAAGCTGTATAAAATAAGCAATTTTTTGTCATATTTCATTTATTCCTGTACTAAATCATTCACCAACGTTTTCAATGAATTGCATAAGGCAACAGAAAATATTGCTGCGAGCTTGTACTTAAGTACATACATATGTACATACGTGTGTGCATGTGCCACTCCAATGCAGTTTCCGCTTTCTGAAGTGCTGCCATTTCATTTATTTTGCTTATTATTTCTACTTTTATTGACACTTGAGTTTTGTTTTTTTTTGCTGCTGCAAACCAAACTTTATTTATTGTTTTCGCGCATGTGTCGCCAATTCAGTGATGATTATTTCCATTCTGCAGCAATACAAATACTCAAAAAATAAAACGCATGCGCAGCACTTGAGTCGATTTTCATTTGTTTGATGAATAGAAAAGTATGAAGAAGAAAAATTTTGTGATTTCTGCGCATTTCTAAGTACATACTTCCTGTGAGTGCAATATTTGTGCCCGAATGCACTGCGTTGCATTTCATAGCGTAAAAGCGTAAACAAAAGAGTTGATATGGAGAACGAGCGTGCGCTGCGGCCACTTGTGTCATTTTTAGGCCGTATGCAACAAAAGAACAATTGCTTACCACGCTGCGCTGGCATGCCACCCCTGCAACCGGCATTGCAACGACCCCTTAGCATTAAGTTTCATGATTTCCTCCCTTGCCTTCATTAAAAAAAAAAAAAAATATTTTATATTCAGTAAATCTCAATTTCATTATTTTTGCTGCACGCATGCGTGCCACACGTGTGCCGTTGCAAATTCACTTTACATATAAATATGTATGTACATTAGGGTGGTCCAAAAATGCATGTGAAAAAGTTAAGTAAAAAATTTTATGCTCTCACCGAAAAAAATTTACCCCTACTTCTTTGTTTCGAAATGAAAAAATATTTAGAGGTCGCTCAAAGTTGTCCAGAAGTGGTATAAAATTTGTAAAGATCAATTTTTTTTTCCATCAGAAAACGCTGTTTCTCTCCAGGAGATTCCCAGTTACAGTACCCATTTGTTTATTTAACCATTTTTTCCTCGCAACTATAATTTATAGGTCCGCCAAAAACCCACAAAAACCCCGAAAAATGCAATATGAGGACCAATAAAAAATCGTTAGTATTAAAAATGGTTAAATAAACAATTGAGTGTGGTTATTGGAAGTCTTCTGAAGAGAACCAGGGTTTTCCCGATTAAAAAATATTGATTTTCCAGAATTCTATACCATTTGTACGAAAAGTGGTTTTTTCCCACATACATGGAAAACTTTGAGCGCTTTGAGCGACCTCTAAATATTTTTTGATTTCAAAATAAAAAATAGGGGTATATATCATTTTCGATATAGAAAAATCCTAGGGGCGAGAGCATTAGAATTCCGACTTAACTATTTTTGGACCACCTTAATGTACATACATATGTATGCACGCTCAAAAATGTATACACACACTCACATACATATTCAATGGTAAACACAATTCGGTTGCCTGGCAACTAAAGGATCATAACAGTTATACTACCAGTAAACTAATGCACCGCATATTGGAAAGGGTCTTTTTTCAAGGATACGAATTTCATAAATCGTACACCGATTCACAAAAATCAAAAATCGTGAAAGACTTGCGATTAACTACTTTTATGGAAGTGAAGAAATTAATCTTGGCAGAGAATTCAGTCTTCCCCCAATAGCTTATCAGAGCATCCATCATTACCGCATTCTCTTAGGCTTTAGGAGTGCAATTCAGGGAATGCGAACTGTGACACTTCTCTGAGAGATGTTCTATACCCGTGGACGTGTGCGCTTGTATTTAAAAAGTTCGTACACAAAATTAGAGGTAGGGCTCCTAGACTGACAGCTTATGCAGATGATCTAGTCAACAGTGCGTGTTTGTCTTCGGGCTTGTCATTTTATTTTATTTTGTGTTTGCATTTGTCTTTATCTTTGTCTTCGGCTTTCTGTTCTCCTTGATTTTAATCCTAAATTTAATCTTAATCGTATTATTATACTTAATCTTATTCTTAATCTGTGTCTTGACCTTTATATCTATTTTTATCCTAATCAGAATTTTAATCTTAATGATTTTCTTACTCTTAATATTGCCTTTATTTTAATCTCAGCATTAATTTTAATCGTAATTTTAATTATAATCTTAATCTTAATCTTAATATCAATTTTAATCATAATTTTATTCCTAATCTTAATCCCAATTTTAATTTTAATCTAAATCTAATACTAAATCTTAATCTTAACCTTTATCTTAATCTTAATATTAATCGTAATCTTAATCTTAATCTCAACCTTAACCTTAATCTTCATATTAATCTAAATCTTAATCTTAACCTTAGTTTTAATCTCAATCTTAACCTTAATATTCTGCATCTACTTCTACTTCACCTACATCTTCATTTTCTTTTTCCTCGTCCAGTTTCTCTTCACCTTCATCTCCATATTCCATCTTTATTTTTTTTTCTTGGTCGCGACCTTCGTCTTCCATCACCACAATCATATTATTCTTGATTATCATTCTTCGTCTTCATTTTCCTCTTCGTATTTATTTTTAACTGCATCTTCGTTTTCATCTCTATCGCCATCTATTTCTACTTCTTCTTCTTCTTCACCATCTTCCTCTTCATCTTCTTCGCCATCTACATCTACATCTTCATATTCATATTCATGTTCAATTTCATCTTTATCTTTGCCTTCATCTTCACCTTCTTTTTCGTCTTCATCTGCAACTTAAACTTCATTTTCTCTTAGCCTTTGTCTGTAGAGCAAGATTAATGGTGGAAAGGCCTCGGATCCAATCTCAATGCCTAAAATTTCTCTATGAGTCTGACATCAGAAAAGATGTGGGTTTTTTTGTCCGAAGCTGAGACTTGAATAGCCATATAAACTTCCAGGCTATTGCATTTAGGCCGAGATAAAGCTGCTGAGTCGGCAGCGGTGCTAACTCGTCATGAAGCATGTGCAAATATTTTCATTGACAGCCATTCAACCATACATACGCAACCGACAATGACTAACTCGCTTTGTGTTCGACAATACAGAGATAGGTTAGGTGAACCTTGCATTAACAGACAAGTCGCTATTTTAATTTCAAAAATGCCAAATTTTGTGTTGTGTCACTTTTGAAGATCGTGTGCGATATGCATGTGGTTGGGGCTCTTACGGGACACTGTCTCCCGCCATCTCACTTGTTCAGTTTAAATAATGGAATATGATCGGTGTAGTTTAAGAACAATAGCTTTTTAAATTGCCATCTCTAAGCGATTGCTCATTAAATACCGATAGTGACGAGCATATTTACATACTGACTGGCATGAGGAGGATTTATCTTTTGGCTTTTAGTCTAGCGTTGCGCCTTCCACAGACCAGGAGGCAGACCCTCTCGCAGGCACGCATTACATATGTACCTCGACAAACCAATTTGAAAATGTCGTCTATCCAAGGCGCTTATTGTCTTCTTTGTTATTTCTATAAGTTATATCTGGAGGTTTGTTTGCGCTGGCATTGGATGTGTTAACTGCTGGACATACTACCTTTGCGGCAGTTTCCTTTCAGGTGGCTGCCAGGTTCTGGGCCTGCAGATCCATTTTGATCATTCGGGTTCGTCGGTGGCATATAAGCAGAAATCGTTCGAATAAAATTCCAAGAAAATCACCGATTGGCCGCAGTAGAGACACACGCTGTGGTTAGATTTTTTTCGTAAAGGCGGACTGGTATTCGGTAGGCGCCGTTCGGTTGTAGTCGAAAAGCTCTCTTACACGAAACTATCCAATGGGCACGGATACACATAAAGCCCTGGATTGGCCAAGAGAGTAGACCCGACGTCGCCCAGTTATAGATCTATAGCGTTTGGTGGAAGAAGGGTCGCATCTTGATGATGTTCTTCATTGTGCATCGTCTCAAACTTTTACTTAGTTTTTTTTTT